TAAAACTACGGGTTACAGGTTTTTGTAGACCACAAATCTGCCCTGGTACAAATATATGATTGGGCCTTTAAAATATTTTTTAAAGTATCTACATGATTTTCAAAAATTTCCTCTATTCTTCTCTGCAAAGACCTCCTTGAAAATATTTTAAATGATATTACTAAGAATATCTAGAATATCATATCAATATTAAACTATATAAAATAATCTAACCTTTCATCATTGTAACAAATTCAGGCTGTTCAACTAGGCTCAAAGGATGTAAATCCTTGACAATAAATTCACATATCAATTTATCAATTTTATTTTGGTAATTGTTGGTTTTATTTTATTTTATTATTTGTAATTGTATTAAATGATTCTGATATATTAGATTGAATCATTTTTTTTATGGTATTAGAATTTGAAGGTTTTTTTCTGTGCTGTTTTAAATATAGCTTATATTCAGAGAATATGGCTATATGACATCTCTAATAAAAAAAATATACTAGTTTTATTTTATTCATTTATCTTTTATAAGTATTTATCATTTGTTTATGATATTTATGTATTTTTTAAATTAGTTTCATTTTCTAATATGATTTATTAATTCTGTCTGTGCTTGTAATATCATATTTACTTATTTTATCATCTTATAAATATCATTCAAATCCCTTTTCAAATTTTTTTATATATTTCATGCAAAATCATTATAAAAAAATATGAAAATAATGTACAACATTATATTATTTAATTATTAATTACATAACATTCTATTATGCATTCTAAATTGATTAAATTTAGTAAATAAATACTGTAATGTAATTTCTTTTATTTAGAGCCTTTTAAAATTATCTAATGTTATATTATATCAATTGTAGCTTAAATATTTCCTCTGATAAGAGAACTTGTTGAAATAATAAAAAATAAATATCCAAAATGATTTTAATTTGATAATCAACCATCTTCTATAAATTTTTTTAAAATAACCATTATCTAAGAGGGACTTAAGTATGTTAATTAATAAAATAAAAATGTATAAATATAATATAATACCTTAAGATGTTTAATAAAATTTGTAGATGAGTTTGTTGATCCTAATAACTTTTTTATTTGTACAAGTTTGACATTCCGCTTGTACCTTGTCCTTTTTCACATATATTATCTTATAAAATTTTCCATCTAGGATTTTAAGATTCAGATTTGATTCTCGAGAACCTATTACCATAATTTCATCTTCACTACTTTCTTCACTATGAATATTAATCATTCTGCAAATTAAAAAATATTATATATAAAATATATCATTTACTTATTTAGTTTTGGTGATGTTATTTTTAATCTATCAAACTTTGTGACCTGTAAAATTTCCAACTAATTTTGGTAATCAATATATTTAAAATATAGCAGGAAAAAAATAAAGAAAATAATAGATTCCACGAAGAATATAAAGTTACATTGTGTAATATGTATTTAAACATGAACATTAAAAAGAATCTGTATCTGTATCTTTGTCAAGAAATGGAAAAGATACAAGATTCTTTTCAAAATAAAGGATCTTATATACAGATACTAGTATCTTATTAAAAAGGTCAAAAAGATACTGAGTACAAGATACAAAAGGATCTTGTATCTTAGATACAAGTATTCGCGGTACTGCCCAACTCTGGCTATATGGTATATATGTAAAGAATTTTTAATATACTTTCACAATATAAAATAATTTGAGTCTTTTCTTTAAAAAAAAATGTTTATAAAATAAATAGTAAAATGTGATGTGCTATAAAATTATTACAAAGATAAAAAAATGTAATATGCAGCATAAAATTTACACCAAAAAAAAAACTTTCTCCAGTATGCAAACTAAACAATATTCCCACCTCAAGGCATACCCATCAACACGGGCTGACCTTATCTGTAAAAATATTTTCCCTTCACATCATTGCATACCGTAAAAATAATATAATAATTGCAAATAAAACTTTTTATAAAATTTTATAATTTAAAAAAAATATATATATTAAATATAAAGATTTCATAATATTACACATCATCTATTATATCATATAAATCCATACCCACTTTATATATATATATCAAATGCAGGCACTAAATCAAAATAACTATCCACATCTAACATTATAGATATTATTCTGACTTCATCATACTTCAATTCCTTTAAATTATCATTCATAATTAAATATATCATATGTGTAATTCACATTACACCCTATTTCATAAAAATGGTTAATTACTTCAAAATAAACAACATTAACTCACCCTCAATAGACATATCAACCTTAATTGAAACTGAATTACATATACAATATATTAACATTGATTAATAATAAATTATCCCACACATGTCCATCCCTTTAAAAACCCAAAATGCATAATTATATAATACATACTTTATTACAAAAGTCCATTTCTATATATATTTTCATAAATTTCAAATATTTAAATATTTAGCAATCCTTTCTGTCCTACTGATCTTGAGGTTTTATCTTCCTATGACGGAATACCTATAACACCATTCAATGAGTCTTAAGGCTACCAAACAATATACTTATTGTCAAACATTGGATGTAAAATATACATCTAGACATATAATACCACAAATATTATTGTCTTAAATGGCCAAAATGAATCAAATATCATTAACCAATAATTAATCATTTTATTTTAATTTTCAATCCTAATACTCATTACATACTTTCTATCTTAAGCTTTGTAAGCTAAATATTTAAGATAAAATTATAGAAACCCTTAAACTCACCTCTTAATCTCACTTACCCCTGTATAGTTTTTAGTACTTGTGTTGTGGTTTTACAGTAAAATTCAAAATTACATGAAATAAATGGTTTTTACCTTTTTATAACGAATAACTCTTGAATCTCCAGGTTCTGTACATGCATCACTTTTAGTATTATAATAACATTTATTTTACATTCAAATATATATCCCATATATACTTATCATTCACCAAATACTTTATCCGTTTAATTCCAATTAAACCACCAATATATCACATATTATGTAACCCACACACCCTTAAACTTTATTTCAAATGTAGTTCAATTTATGAAACTACCTTACCCACCATATTAATAATATATAAACCTTTATTTCAAATGTAGTTCAATTTATGAAACTACCTTACCCACCACATTAATAATATATAAACCTTTATTCAAATGTAGTTCACTTTATGAAACTACCTTACCCACCACATTAATAATATATAAACCTTTATTTCAAATGTAGTTCAATTTATGAAACTACCTTACTGAACACATTAATAATATACAAACATTAATAGAAATGAATTATTCATCATAATATTTCTTATTCCTTAACCTAGCCTAAAAATATACAAACATAGCTATCATTATAAATTAATTTATATCTTTAACATGAAATATTTACTGGTTTTACCTTTCTTATCCTTTACATTGCATTGTGTTCCTCATCAATCCCTAAATAAATCCTTAGGTCACTGGCAACATTAAAGAAGACGTCATATTTATTCATAAAAATATCGAAAGATTACAAACTATTAAGTAATATAAAACAGTTATCAAATATAATAATAATTATCATAAACTATCCAGCTCCCATATATTCTTCACCCCAAAAGACACCTAAAGAAAGCTCCATTGTTCCTCACCAACCCACGTGATGATCACGTTTTTTCCTCCCCACCAAGGAAAACTTAATTCCCCTGTCAGAAAATAACTGACATTTTATGTATTATATTAAATTTATTCCTTCTTTTTTTCAACAGCTACAACAAATACCAGTTTCAATACTTTCAATATTTGGCCTAAAAATATTTACCTCTAATCTGCTAATTATGACTATTTTATATGAATCTTTAAAAATAAAATCTTCCCCTCACTAGGCAAATCTGATTCCACTAGAGTCCTTTGGGGCTGGTACCCGAGCCAAATATCATTAAAAAATTATATATTAGGCCTTGACCCCAAAAAATATTTATTTTCTAATTTTTCCTTTTTTTTGCCAGTTGAATTCACAATGACAAAATAAAAAAACATCACTATAATATTTAAATTTAATGTAAAAGATATAGAATAAAATAAACATTTTAAGTTTGAAATATATTTCGCATTTCCCATTTATAAAAAATCGGGCTGCGGGCCAAAAATCGATCTGGCAGGTAACTAGATTTCACAGTCATACGGTTGCACCTTATAGAGCTTCACTGATTATACCCATTTTTGATCATTTCATTCAAATAAAAATCCTACTTTCTCTTTCTCTTTCTCTTTCCTTTTTATTTTTCTTATTTAGTCAATGACATATAATAATACCTAGACTTGATGATTCATTCATTAAAATGCATTTTTAAGCGTCGTTTGTCATTGTATTTAGTAGAATTTTTAAAATTAATAATAAATATCAAATATCAGCAAATGTAATTTTGCTAAATAATTTTTATTTAAAAAAACTTAAATGATAAAATTTGTTTTTTTTGTTATTTACAACTTTAAAAAAAATAAAATTACTTTTTTTAAAATAAAAATTACGAAATATCAAATAATAATTTGGGTAAGCCTATGAATGATCGATTATAATGGGAAATGTCCCCTTACTTTTCCCACTTAATATAGCATGTCTTCCTGATTATACTTAAATATATTTCGCACTTAAAAGGTATTATAAACAATTTATTCCAAATTAAAATATTATATATATTGATTTTTATCAAAATAAACTGAATTTATTAAACCAAATTTATAAATATGTTAACTTACCTACCTAATATTGCCCAAATTACTATAGAATATCTTTAAAATAATATATTTTTGGGATAAAAAATTCGATTAAGATAGGTAAAAAAAAAATATTTATATTTCAAAAAAAAATGAACCTTGAAGATGTAAAAGATTTATTTTTAAACTTAAATAATTTTTCCGGATAATATCTCCCTCTTTTTAAACTTTTACATGCATCATCTGAAAGAGAAAGAATAAAATATTTGGATGCCACTAATCAAAATGTTTACTCAAAAAAACAACCCTTACAAAAAGGTTTCTCTCGCGACAGATATCTTAACTACCAAGAAGGAAGTCGAATCGGGAATAGCTCATAGCGATAATAAAAAATTTGTCAAAAACCTGTCAGGAGTAAATTTAAAAGAATATTCTAAATTCGAAAAAAATGACCAAGATGATATTAGAGACGATGTAAGGAATAGTGAATGGAATCCTGTACATTTTTGTGACATATCTAAAGCTATATTCGTAAGGTTTATATTCGGTTTACACTCATTTCTCACCATTTGGAGAGTCGTGGCGGTCAAAAGAAACCCTTTATATTGGTACATGGCCTTTTTATTGTGGCCTATGATCGTCGAAACGACCGTGGCTATCATTGTTAGGAAAGGCAAGGAATACAAATGGTATATATATATATATACTATATATTTTTCCTCAAAAATATTTAAATAATCTTAAAATTTTTAAAAAAATAAATATCTATTTTTATAAGATAGAGGACGAGTTTATAAGCTGGCATTTGAAAATTGATAGATTTAATTTAAATTATATTGTCCCCTTTATATCTAATAATCTTTTTATATTTTAATCGAAAACGAATCTCCTAAAAATATTTAGCAAATTTTAAAGAATGACTTTCTTTTTTTTGGCTAATTATAAATAAAATTTCTTTTTTTTGCTAATTTTGAAAATCTCTATAATAGCAACGTCATTGATAAGATTATATCCTTAAAAACAAAATCAGGTGTATCCTTTTCTTTTAGTTTATGTTTTCGATTTCTGTAGAGAAGATCTTATAATTAGGTTACACTTTTTTTTATTAGATATTATTCTGAGATGATAATTCTAAATCTTTAAAAAAATATGTAATATTATTAACAGTTCACGTTTAGAGACTATTATATTTTATTAAATTTTTTTTAATTTTGTTTGTTTAGCAGGTTGTTAATACATTTTGGTAAGAAATATTAGTAAATAAAAGCTAATTTATATAATTAATACCTAATTTCAAAAAATGTAAACAATTTTTTTTAAAAAATAATAAACTAATAATACTTAATATTAAGTCTATGCATAGGGATAATAAAAAACCCTGCTTATTTTATAATAATATTATGTAACCTCCAAAAATAGAATAAAATAATGAATGATGCGGCATAATATAAATTATTTACTTTTTTACTTTTTAAAGTAAAAATTAATAGAAGCTATAGGGCATAAATTAAAATTAAATGAAATTATACCGATCAGCCTAAGGAATCCCTCTTTTTACGCCAAAGTCTTGCCACCTCCAACATTCGCTCTAACTATCTAAGCTTCATCTCTTCCATTGAATAACCATCCGTTTTCCAAGCTTCCTTTCTTTTATCCCCCATCCTTTCCCGTAAATTCTATTTCTACATTTTTCACCTTTATTTATTTTACCTTTTTAAAAAATCAATTATTTACTACTACATTTTGACAACATATCATATCAGTAAATATTCAAATAAAGTAACCCATGACCGGAAAAAAATATAGTAATTTATACATTTTTGAGATTTAGAAGAAGAAAACAGAAGTATAATTTTTTATTTTCATAGTCATATATTTCAAATCAATTCAGTGTCTAGGTCTTTTTCAGTTAAAATTTAGTGTGAAGGCTTGTTTGGAGAGTTTTTACTGGATTGATTTAAGCCCTCTAGCACATAACTTTGTTTAAAACCTTTCGTGATTATTATGATTAAAATTGAAGTGGACAAATTAATTTATTAAAATATATATATTTAATCAAAATTATTCTAAAATAACATAAATAAAACTAAAACGTTAAAATATAAAATCAAAATATAAAGTAAAAATTATCTTTATTTTTTTCTTGAATTATTACATTTTCGATCTTACTATTTTTACTACTAAAATTTACATACCATTGATAATTCATATAATTGTCATTTAATTTTACTACAATTTAAATCTTCCAATTACCTTTACAATTTAAACATTCAATTTTCTTAAAAAATTTAATATTCTAATTAACTGTTTATTTTTAAAATTATAAATAACTTTTCTTTTTCAATACACGTATTTGACACCCCTTCCCTTAAATCGCCTGAATCCACTTTGAACTGCCAATACAGAATAGCTTGCTATACGATAAATTGAACGTTTCAAAAGGCAAATGCGTTTTGTTAATTGGACAGTATTTTTTTTGTTTTAGATTTAGACGTAATATATTTAAAAAATATATAAATTAAATATTCAATATACGTTTACTTTTTTTTTATTTGAGTTTTGAAACGTTCAATTTGTGCACACTATAAAACATTGAGTTTCCCCAATCTTTAGCGAAGGCAACTCCACTTCTTGTCCCATAATGCCTACGATAAAAATTCTTATAACGATAACGCTCTCTTTTAACGATACTGACCTATTGTCACGATTAGTGTTGTTAAACGGCTCGTTTTGAGCCGATTTTTAAAAACGGCTACTATATTTTAGCCAGAAAAATATTGCTAAAGCCTCAAAATTTCGCTAATAGATGTCCAAACCTTTGTTCCTTCTACAACCAAAATCTTGAAGCTTAGGCAATATTTTTCGGGCTAAAATATTGAGTTAGCCGTTTTTAAAAATCGGCTCAAAACGAGCGGTTTAACAACACTAGTCACGATACTAACGGTTCCAATCTATTGACAATAACAATTTCTTGTAAAGATAAGGATTTTTTATAATAGAGCTCTCTTGTAACGATACTAACGGTACCAATTTCTTGTAACAATAAAACTTCTTGTAAAGATAACGGTTTCTTGTACTAAAGATCTTTTACACAATACTACTTCTTGTATCTTAACCACCTCTTGTAACGATAACGATTTCTTGTAATATCTCTTATACGATAACTACTTCTGTATCTTAACGACCTCTTATAACGATAACCATTTCTTGTAAGGATAACCATCTCTTATAACGAATTTCTTTTAACAAAACGATCTCTTGTAACAAAAACGACTAATTCTATACTCTTTTAAACATGTGTTACTGCTAACAAATTTGGCCTTCCGTTTCTTCTACGACCATTTGCCTGGATATTGACACAATTGTTTCTTTATCTTGATTGCTATGGTCATTTCATAAATTTCCTCTCACCTTTTTTTAGAATTTCCTTTTGAGTTAATTAGAAAGTTTTAGGTCCATAGTACATAAATAAGGCAACAATTGTTCAAAACATTTCGTGATTATTATGATCAAAATTGAAGATGACAAATTAATTTATTAAAATTTATATAATAAAATTTATTTTAAAATAACAGAAATAAAACGAAAACATAAAAATATAAAATATAAAGTAAAAAAAAATAGTATTTCCTTTCTTTTTCTAGAATTATTACATTTTCGATCTCACTATTTATACTACTAATATTTACATACCATCGCTAATTTCATATAATTGTCATTTTGACTACAATTTAAACTTTTCAATTACCTTTACAATTTAAACATTTCAATTATCTTAACAAATTTTATATTCAAATGAACTGTTTATTTTTAAAATTATAAATAACTTTTTTTTTCAATACACGTATTTGACATACTTATTTTTGGATAAAATTATATTCAAAATGAATATTTGCTCGTGTATCTCTTATTTATTTTAATTAAGAATTTTCCCTGGAAAATAATGATCTAGTAAGAGATATATTAGCTAAAAATATTATTTATATATTACAGAAGAATAATGATTAAAATAAATAACTAATGATCTTATTAATCAGTTGACTTGAGTTTTTTTTTAAATGGATTATTCAATGATTATGAATGATAATGTTTTTTACACTTTAAATTCTATATAGTTAAAAGATATATTTTGCGAATTTCATTTCAGCATTTATTAAAATACCAAAATAAAAGTAGAAAAATTTAAATACTTGTGGACTTTAAATTATCTAACGTAGTCTTTATGAGAAATATATTGATATTATACGCAGGTTTTGTCCAAGCGTGTTTTTCTATCTGATCAGCGTTCTACCTTCAATATGGGTCCTGGAGATGGATAAAATAGATAAATACATACATCAAAATAACGGCACTCAATATAAATACTTTTCATCATGCAAGACATACGATCAGAGCAGGGGCTATATAGAAAAGCCTACAACGGATGAGCCATTAGGAGTTTTTTAAATTTTTTAGCGAAAATTTTTAAGTTATAATCATATCGTTTTATTAGAATAATATATATTATCCTTCTTTTAAATCGATTTAAGATTGCAGAATGAACAATTAATTATATCATTTTTCGTATTTATCGAGGTTATATATTTGTTTTGATACAAAATCATATTTAATAAGGCCTTAATGCTATTGAATTTTAATTTTTTTAAGTGTTATTTATGCCATAAAATCGAGATAAGATTGCTTTTATTTTATATGTAAGAGATTATTATCATAATCACGATATTTATAAAATTATAATGAATAATGATGTAAGTCATTAGAGAGTTGGTCAAACGTCCAACCCGGAAGAAACTAAGTCACATAAATGACATTCTGTAAAATCCATAAGACTCGATTTGTATAAGATAAAGAATTTGAGAGACTTAAACGGTCTTTCAAAAATGCCGAAAAAACTGAATAATACTTTTTTTATGATTTATAACTTGGAGGTGACACGCTCTAAATTTTCCCCACTACGCCCCAAATATTTTACCCCCACTCCAATGTGAACCTGTCCCCCTCAAAGATATATAGAGACAGATGACTCCTACACCCCCCCCCCCCGTTCTTTATGTAGCCACGGCTTCCGTTGTGTAAGATAAAAAAAATTCTATAATTAAAATTTTAAATCTATAGCTCAATTTACCTATTCAACTCACCCGCGAGGCCTGGGTGACAACCCTGGAACACTCCTTAATTATTTTACTTATCTTGGGAAGGTGGCTTTTACCAAAGGGTGAGCTAAGTCGGGATCAATTATCGCAAATTCTTTTGGTTTACTTAGGTACGGCGGCTGATATAATGGAACTTTTCGAAACATTCAAAGAAGATGAAGTCAAAAGTAATCGCCATATTTGTATTATTATTTTGAGCATATGGACTTGGAGTTTCATACAATTTACCTTTGTCCTAACCACTTTGAAGTCTAAAAAGAATAAATTGGGAACCATATTTTTCTTGTCCAAATTGGAGAAAACGAAACATCAGATCCTTATTGATTTGTTAGGAGTATTTTCCAATTTGATGCTGCAGGATATACCTTTCCTGGCTCTTAGATCTATACTGATATTTAGATATGGCATCTTGAGCGTGATGATAATATTTTTTACTATGAAAAATGCACTGGTGATTAGCTTGGAGTTCTACAGAATATTGGTCCTTTATTTGTCTCACAAGAAACGTTTGAGTAGTTTAAAAGAAAAGGTACTGATACATTCCTATTTCAAAACCCATCCATGGTCACTTCCAATAATCGGGCAAAATATAAATTCAAGTTATAACACAAACTTTTTTCATAACATATCATGTTAAGAGTTCATTATTTTAATTGCAGTTTATTTGGATATTATACTTATAGGATAGAGATTAGCATAACCCGGCCTGTGAATATTTTAAAAAAGGCTTTTTGGCCTGGCCCTGATTTTTTAACCCACTTAAAATTATTTTTTATGAAGGAAAAATTATAATTTGTGTAATCCAAGGTTTATAAAATATTGAAAAATTCGAAAAAATATTTTGTGCAAATTAACCCTTCAAAAAATATTTTGTACAAGTTGCCCAGCCAGCGGGCCAGGCTTCGAGCCGTGCTGATCTCTTTTTAAGGTAACCAACCAAAAATTAATAATCGCAAAATATTATAAAATTAGTAATATTATACTTAAAGCATATATCAATCTATAATTTTCTTCAAATTAATAGAAAAAGCCGATCCGAATATAGAGTGTATAGAAAATGGTTATATGGGATCAGGAAAAAAGAAAAGAAATGAAATAAATTCCTCTAAAATCAAAAATGAAAATACTCCCATGATAAATAACGAAGTGGTGTGCAATAATTTTAAAGAAGCCCTTGAAGTGTTCAAAAAAACTCAACAAGAAGAAATCAATTCTAATATCAAAGAATCTGTATTTGATGATGATAGCGAAGATTTGCCAATCAAGAAAAAAATTATCGATAAGTTTAAGATCGCTGACGATTTGCGAGAAATAAAACTGATTCAAGATCTCAATAAAAGCATCGAAGAAGAAGTTCAAAACCAGAAAGAGGAACTTAAGACTTTGAACAATGGTGATGGATAAATAATTCTCCTTTAGAGAAGATGCTAAATCTTAGTAAATTTTATTTTTTTCTTATTCATATTTTTTTTCCTCTATAATTTACATGAAGGAAAACTTAGTATATAACATATCACATATTTATTTTGTATAATAAAACAAAAACTTTAGGTATTATTTCGTGATAATACCAATTTATTTAATAAGGTATTTATTAATTCTATGGCATTTTAGTATGTTTTTTTAAAATGCCGCTCTGTTAAATTGAATTAATTAACTTTAAAAAAATGAATATATATGCTTTTTCTGTATTGTCTTTATGCTTCCTAATTTAAACAAAAATTCTGTTTATCGCTCTGAATTATTTTTTTTTAAAAAAAATCTAGATATTATAATTTTAATTTTGTGATAATTAAATCAATGTATTAATAAGCTCTTTATTAATTCTTTAACGTTTTATATACTATGTAAGTCCTTGTTAACCTATGCTCAATTAAATGATAAATTAAGGAATAAAATTATTATTTTGTGACCATTGCGTTTATTTTTCTTGTTTCAAAAAAAATAATTATAGTTTGGCAGTAATCGCTGTCGAAAAATGGATATATTTCGGGTACTTTTTTTTAATCTTAAAATTGTGTTTAATAAGGAAAGGGACCTTTAAAACCAACCAAATAATAATAAATGGAAAATTACAAAAAAGATAGAATAAATGCGGGTAAAAGTAGTGCTGTAAACATTTTTAAAAAAATCGAACGCGTTCGCGTTCAACGTTCATTGACAAAAATCGAACGCGTTCACGTTCACGTTCAAAAAAAGGAACGCGTTCAAGTTCATGAACGCGTTCATACGTTCAAAATTTTATGATAATTTTTTTTTAAAATTTAATATGATATAAATAAATGCCTTATATTTTTCAACACAATATATTAGCCATGATAAAAAATAATAGTTTTATTTTGATAATATAATTATAAATACAATATAATAGAGCGATAAAAAAATAAATTTATAAAAAAATTTTTCTTATTAATTTTTAATAATAATTGCTTTTCAAAATTTTCATCTGATAGGCATGAACGCTTGTCAGTTAATACAGCGTTAGCTATACTAAAAACTAGCTCAACAGGGGCAGATGAAGGGATTGCGGTGTTATACTTGATAAATAATTCTTTTAAAAGGGGGAATTTATTAAAAACATTTAATGTTTTATCCATTGTTTCAAAAAATTGAGCTATGTTATCATCCTCCAATCTGCCCTCTTCTTCCTCGTCAAAAAAAAAGGATATCTCGGAATTGATTTTAAAACAGTGAAATATTTTTGATATTTGGGCCATGGTAATTCTAATTCATCTAATATTGAATATTGATTTTCAGAATCTGATGATGAAATATTAATAGCCATGCAAATGCTAATCTATTAAATTAAAATATAAAATATTCAAATTAATAAACTTTAATCTTATCTTCTCTAGCAGTAGCACTATGGTACGTTAATTGCAATATGAAAGAGGAAAAAGTAAAAACAGCTGATTAAAAAATATAAGACTTTTTTGTTAAAAAATTGGAGTAAATATTAATTTTTCAAATAAATAAAAATATAAGACTTTTTTGTTAAAAAATGCGGATTAATATTAATTTTTCAAATAAATAAAAATAAAAAGTGTTTTTAAAATTGAACGAACGTAAAATTGAACGCGTTCATCAAAGAAAAGGAACGCGTTCACGTTCAAAGTTCGTCAAAAAAAAAGGAACGCCGTTCATCACCTTTTTTCAAAAAAACGAACTTCGTTCACGAACGTGTTCATTTTGAACGCGTTCGTTTACAACACTAGGTAAAAGACATATTATTTATACTATGATGTGCAACTTAAATATGTTTATAATTATGTTCGGTTTAGAATAAGGAATTAAATTTTAAAGGTTCAGGTTTCATGTTCAAAAACATAATGAAGGTTTATAAAATATTATTTATTTATACAAGGTACCCATATATACCGCGACAAATAATTTTAATCCTATTTTATGGTAAATATAAGGAAATAAAAAGAACCAAAACACACTTTTTAAAGTTAAGCCAAAATTTTTATTATTAATTCTTATTTTTATATAAAATTATGATCACAACACCACATAATTAAAAAAATCAACATCGGCCCAAGACATGGGTGAGCTTTATTGACATTTTCCAGGAGCTCTAATAAAATTTGCTCTTTTGAGGCGATAATTGGAAGAAAATACATTTTTTTAAAATATCTTTTCAAAGTATTTGTCTAGTTGTCTGTGACAAAGAAACCATTTGAGACTTAAGACTAGAAGGTGCAATAAAAAGACCTTGTCAATATATTTTCGTATAAATTATTTAACGATATTTTTTAAAAACATTATTCGAATCGAATACAAATAGTAAATTATATTATTCGTACGAATATGAATAGTAAATTATTCTAGTTTTTAAACGAATCGAATACGAATAAAGCACTATTCGATTCGTTTTTGAATAGGCCTACTATAATACAACCTTTACGTTAAAAATAATTATATTTATTAGCTAAAAAATTACCCGGAGCCAAAGTTAACATTGCTTCTTTTTTTTTATATAAAAGAAAAAATTATGCAAATATTTTATAAAGAGAATCACTTTGAATGGTTAGGTAATTTTGTGTTTATAAAATGAGCATTGGGGAAGCAAAGCAAAATTATTTTTTTTCTAAATCTAGCACTCTGAGCAAAATCTCCAGGCTTGCGTAATATTTTTTGGCTAAGATATTGTGTTAACCGTTTAACACTAATTTTGATAAGAAATTGATTATAGAAAAAGTTGGAACACAAAATTTGAAAAAAGAGATCAAAACTGCATTAGTATTTTATATTTAAATATGAGTGGCTAATTGGACCAAACATTTAATTTTTAAAAAAAATATTTTGTTAATATTTATATGTATTCTCAAAGTTTAAACACAAGCTAGAAACCGAATTAAAGATAATGTTTCAGGACAATGAATTTAAAAATACCAACGAAAAGCTCGAATTTTTTTATACCGTATTGTTAAATAATTTCAGTTTTTTTAAATATGCAATTTGATTCTAAGTTTGGCACCAAAAGAATAAACTTATCGTAGAAACAGGATGAGACAAAATCAATCTAATCTGTCCATAATTTTAATTTAAAAAATATATATAATTAAAATCTAACAATAACAATTTACTCAAAAACAAAACCAATTCTGCTTAATTATATTTCTTAATATTTTTCATAAAACTTGATAAAATAAATTCATTGCTTCCCTAGTTGTAATTTTTGGCATTTTGTCACTGCATTATAATAAAGTTAAATAGTTAACTTCAAAAACTTTTTTAAGTCTAAGATAAAATGATCTAAAAAATTTTGTAAAAAAGGATTGAGAAAAAAATTATAGCTGAGAATTATATTTTGCTTAACTTTTTCAATATTCAAATCCTTATTTTTTTACCATTTCCCTTTGATCAATCTTATAAGTATTAAAATTAATATTTTAAAGATGGTTTCATTTAATTTTATCAATGGGGTACAAACTAAATTAGTAGGGGTTGCGCTACAATGGTGCTCGAAATGTATGTGAGCCTGTTTGAATTTTTAGAGACCCAAAAGGCGATGGCAATTTTATTTTATACTAGCCAAAGGAAAAAGTTTGAATAGGGACCTATGGCGTTGTTATTGCACCACAGAATTTAAAAATTTTTTACCAACTTTATTCACATCAGTTACCTGCATCTTTCTTTATGGCCAACCCATCTTACTCTCTACAACTAATATAACATAATTTAATGTCAATTAATTTTACAGGGATATAAACAAACCTTAAAGAATATCGATTCTGAAGAGAGGAAAAATAGGGGCTTGCGGTACAGGTTAGGTTCATGAAACATCTGTTTGTTATCAAAACGGTTTGAACTTTTCACATTCAAACTTTTTATGTTTAGAGAAGCGTATTTTTTTAAAATTTAAATAATTATTTTCCAACTACTGGGTTCCATAAAATTAAAATATTTTAAAAATTGTCTTGTTAAACTGTAATATGGATAAGGAGAAAAAAGGTGAACACTTCTATATGCTATTGGTCAGCTTGTACCATCAATAGCTATACAAAAATGGTGACTGATACTCACCAATCATAATTGAGATAATAATCTTTAAGATTAGAAACATCGAAAGTTCTGAAAGGTTCACATCTTTCCAATAGTTAATTAAGGGAAGGTGAGGCGAGGTAGAATATCTTTTCCTTAGCAAATATGACAATTATTGTAAATATTATTATAAGCTAATCAAAATTTCTAAAAAAATAAGTACAATATGCTAAAACAAAGCAATTATAAAGTATGAGTAAATAATTTTAATATAAATGACTAGGATTAAGATTTTTGAAAAGTGTAAAACAAAATATTTCAAAAATAAAATAATATCCAATCAATGGCCTTAAAAAGTTCTGGTAAAAATATTCAAAATAAAATTTATGGTAAAAAAAACCAACCACTCCTCTTGTGAAAATCTTGGTACATCCAAGGCATACTTATTTTTCTTTATTCAAAAATATATTTATTACTAAAATATTATATTTCTCATATATAAAAATTGAAAAAAAATTTAAAAATGGTGACAAAAATTATAGTAATGGTGTTGTTAAAAGTTAGTTTTGAAAGTCATTTTATATACTTACATAGGAAACTTATAGCTATTAGTCACGTTATTTTAAATGTAACTAGTTACCATATAGTTACTTTGTAAATAATTTATATAGGACTCATAATTTTTGATTTAATTTATTTTATTGTACAAATTTAAATTATAAGATTTGATTAAAGAAATAACTGCACCAAAAAACTATACCACATAATTATTTTTATTGGAAAAAGTATCATTTTATAATATTTTACCAAAAATAAAATACATAAATAAAATTTTAATATATATTTGCACCCAAAAAAATATATAAATTATTCAATTTAAGCTTAACAACTATTTATTTGATTCTAAGAGCAAGTTATTCTCATAATTTTGGTCTGAAGATGTGCTAGTTTTTCTCTAAAATGCTAAGAATAATAAAATTTATTATTGGTATTAGATTCAAATTATTTAAATATTTCATTTTATAAAAATATAAAATAATTATATAAAAATATATTGACAAGAATATTTTTCACCTCTAATCTTAAGCACAAAAAATTATAATAATTTGATGGGAAAGAAGAAGCGATTATGTTTTAATGAAATTAAAATACAAATTAATGTTTATAATGCCAAATCAAATTGACAGTTTTTCTTATTGTTTCTCTTCATAAGACATGCGATGTTTTGAGAGCAAATTAATCTCGACTAAGAAAAGTTTTCACAATCATGCATTACCTTGTTTATTACATTTCCTGTCAGATTTATAGGCTATCAACAGAAATGACAATGATTAAATTTTATTAAAAGATATATTAAAAAATTAAATTATTCAAATATTTTATCAAATAATTGTATCATTTAAATAATTTGTTTGAATGTATAATTATGTTTATTCAAAAATAAATCTCAATTTTTTTACTAACAAAATAAATAATTTATTCTTAGTATTCTTTACTATTCATTTTGAATCATTCAATTTAGTCAAATAATTGATTTATTTTTGAATAGGCCTATATATAAATAATGATATTTTTTAAGAAAAATTCAAGAGAAGCAATGTCTTCCTTGCTTCCAAGGATGGTTTATCAGTGATAGAATGGCATTATGATTAATAATCAATTTAAAAGTTTAACCCTTTTATTTAATTAAAAATAATGAAATAAATAAATAAATAATGAACAATAAATAATATCACAATATCATTTAAAATCAATATAATTTATATCTAAATGCTTTTTTTATAAGGCATTAATATTAAAAATAAAAAACACTTAATTAATAATTATTTAAATCTGAATAATGATAAGTATAATTTTAAATTATAAAATGATAATAATTGTAATTCAATTAATTTTGACAGTATTATTATGAGTTTGAAGATCTTTTCCTAGAAATTCTACCAGGTACATTTTGGGGGGTTTAAAAATTTTATGTCTATTTTTAACAAAGGTTGTCCTTGGCTGAGTTGCACTATCACCTAATGCCAAATATAAATTATTTTAACATTTATCTATATTAACTTTTGGAATTCAAATCTAAATATTTGCATATTCCATGAGCCAACAATCTATGATAAGAATTATCTAGAACCGTTTTATATGTGGATTCTGGATAGAGAGTAAAATATTTACGCAGATCCTCTTCAATATTTAATATTTTATCCTAAAAATTTTATATATAAAATTTAAACATTTATTTTCAAACAATAGGAAGGTGATTTTTGTTAAGTAAATTTTTTATATAATTATCAATTTTCAAAAAATGTTGCTTTGCATTGGTATAAGAAGCTGGGTATACTATATATTCCTTTTAATTTTTATTAAAAAAAATTAATCAACCTTTCCTTGAATCATATTTTCTATTACATTTGCAACATTTGTTATTATGAATATCTTCTTTAATATAATATATATCAAGATCTTCATTTTCTTCTTGTATACTATCTAAACAAACATGTTTGCAGGTATTATCAATTACATCTAAATATTTTGCTTGTTCCTCCTCACTAGAATTAATAAATTGATCCCAAGCCTATTATCAAATGTTAATATGACTCAATAATTAAATAACACCTGGAAATTTTTGACATGAGAAAAAAGTAGGGTAAAAGCTGAAAAATTATCAACTACAAAATCATCAATGGATAGGCTACCAGTTGAAGAATCATGTAAATCTTGACTTAATTGTATCAAGTATTTATCTATAAATGTTTTATGATTATAAAATAATTTATTATAAGTACTATTTTCTATTATTCTTTGACGGCGTTTAGATGATCTTTCTCCAAATCTTGAAAAATTTTCAGTTAAAAAATTTTCAGGCTGATTTTTATTAAGTTTTTTTAGCTTTCTGTAATTTCCTAATCGAACTCTTATACTCTCTACTGATTCCGTTTCCGAAAAGTATATATCATCTGTCTGGCTGTAGGTTATGAAACACATAAAAATAAAATAAATTGTTGAAACTTTGATGCATCATCACTAAACTCTTGGTTAGCTATAGATACCAAATCTTTAATAACTCCCATAGATGATTTTGAGAAATTTGTTGGCAGAGAAGGTAATGACCCTGAGATAAAGAAAGGCAAACAACCACTGGTCCCTTAGAAAACTTTTAAAAATAACCGATATATGTAAGAGTGCTAAATTTTAAATAAATAATTTTTTTTATAATATATCAATTTTTTTAAAAAAAATACTTAAAAAAGAAAGTTAATTTTAAAAATAATTGCGAATAAAAGTCGATTTTGTAGTAATGGGAAGTATAAGTTAGTATTGATATTATGGAAATATATATATGAATATAGCATATTAAATTATAATATTATGAATTAATATATTCATTAATTAGATAAATTTTATAATAATTATATATATTTATGATTAATATAATATTGGATCTAGGTTACCAAACACCCAGAGCATCTATATTAATGTCATATCCTGATCTATATATATTGTTATGGTTGTATAAATGAATGTTGCATAGGCGTAGCCGGGTAGGGGGGGGTCAAGGGGAAATCCCCCCTCCCCCTTCAGAAATTTATCACTTTTGTAAATATCATTCTAAGCTAATAAAAAAAACCCCTTAGTCTTCCCCTTACTCCCTGACCCCCCAAAATGTATGCATATATCTTAAACAATAATTTGAAAGAAATAATGTAAAAGCTGATATTTTTTTAAACTAAAACTATTCATCATAATTTATACATTTTTGGAAAAAAGTATTACTATATAAAAAAAGTGAACCTAAAATGTTTTTTAATATATGGAATATAAGCCAAAGATAAGTCTTAAGACAAAAGTGATATGTATTATAATTATTAATAATAGATCCATAAAATTACTAAATAATATAATATATCAAATATAGTTTTTTATAAAGTGAGGGATTTTAATTTATTTATCTAATAAAAGTCAAATATAATTATAAAACTATTGATAAAATCAAATCATAAAATATATAAAAAATTAAAGCACCAGACAAACAGCGGAATATTATATGTTGTAGTGTTATATAACTGTTGTATGGACAAGAAAAAATGTTTTATTTATTATATATATATCTAAAACTAAAAGTGATACTAAAAATAAATACAAAATAAGGTATATATATATGTATTATCAAAAAAACAATTTAAACGAAATACATAGTTAAAGGCTAACGTGTTTAAAATAAAAACAATTTAAGTTAAACAAATTTAAAAAGTCAATCTCGATTTACATTCCCCTTTTTCTGAGAAGCCTTTCCATAATCCATCTGAGCTGTCATAGCAAGCTTGTCGTCCAAATGATTTATCATTTTGATTATCAAGTTGTTGCATATGTCGTCTTAATCGTTGGCTTGTTTAAATCGTAAGCTTCATATATCAGTGGTTATTATTATCATGTAGGATGTTGGAATATATGCATAATCAGAGAATTGATCAAATTTGAATGTTAGAATAATAAAAGGATGATAAATCAACAGATAATATTTTTAGCGTTTTTATTTTTTATATGATATTTTCAGCGTTTTTATTTTTATTTTGCGTTTTAGTATTTAATTTATTTTTACATATTTTAATATTTTAAGTTATATAATCTTTTAGATAAACAGGTTTTTGTCTACTTCGTATCGGTCTAGGAGTCGGTGTTACAATATTTTTATCATTAGTTTTAATATTTGTGTCCTCACTTCCGTCCTTCTTAGGAGAGTCGTGGTATGCAAATGTGTTATAGCATTCTCTCTTTCTTAATTGATCCAGGTGTTTCCTTGTAATACCTTTTTCTGTATAGACTTGGAACATAGTGTCACTTGCTTTCAAATTAATTGTCCCTTTGTCCCATGTGTCATTCCCTTGTACTTTATACCAAACAAAATCTCCTATATTAAAGGTTCTATTTCGTGGTAAAGTAACAAGTCCCATTTAACTCTAATATCACGGTTGAACATTCTCTTAGACGGTGTAACTCCTGTAGTGTCATTACGCGTATTTCTGAATAAATAAAAATTTGTCAAGTGCGATATCTAAGTCAATTGTGATATTCCTTTTCATATGTGTTTTGAACATTCTTACCATGCGTTCTACCTGGCCATTGGATTGCTGGTGATAAGCAGATGTGAGCACATGTTTGTTACCATAATCATTGCAAAATTTTTCAAAATCACTACTTGTGAACAGGGTTGGCATGTCTCCCTCCATCAGCGGGAGACTCCCGCAATTTTTAGTTTACACGCAGACATCTCACCCGCAAAACTACCGCAATTGGAAATCTCCGGTAAAAATCTACAGCAATTTTTTAATTTCTCCCGCAATTTTTTTTAAAAAGTATTTTAACGTTTTTAGTATATATGAGAGACATTAATTGATTATTTTTATATTTTTAAAATAAATTTTAAATATTTATTCGAGAAACATGTCTAATTTGTAAATTTCTTTCTATCCTGTTTTATTTTTATCCAATAATAAATCAACATTATTTCATTCATACAAGTCAGTACAGGGGAGTATATCAACATCGATTGCAATACAAAAATATTCTCAAAAATAATAAATAATATAGATGCAACTACAGTTGCGGCAGTTGTAATCACTTATCTTGTAGTACAAAATTCACAGAGATACTTATCATCACAATTGGTAGAATCTTTTTCCCATAATATTTAACGAACTCTAATATAAATAAAAACTATACTTGTAGAGCAAAAATGAGCAAGGCTATCATCAATGTTTTAGTACCTGAATCCTAGAGGTCAATTTTAAATGATTTGAAAGATGGGCATCTATATGCAATTCTAACAGATGCATCTAATAAGGGAAATATTAAAACATTTCCCTCGATTCTTTGCTATTTCAACAAGAATTATGTTCATCTCTACAGTTAAAAATTGATAATAAATTTTATGGCGCTATTGCTAAAAATATTATATTAAAATGTTCAAATAATACTCTAAGTAATAAATTTTTAAATAAGGCAGATATTTTTATTAAGACAATTCTAGAATATTTACAATTAAAATTTGATTTTAATAACTCTATTCAGAAACCATCAATTGATGGTTTTTATAATTTAATAAATATATTAAAAATACCGAAAGACATTGATGCCTTGTTTGAGGAGATTGTAATTCTCTTTATTTTTTATGATTCGCCAAAATACTTAAAGTTAGATGGTCTAAAAGCAGAGGAGAAATGGGTAGAATTTTTTTCGTAATAACAATAAATCCCCATGCTTGAAAAAATATGCGAGTATGTCTCCCCTCATTCTAATGCCTCATCCAAGCGCATTTTTAGCCTGATTAGGACTGCCTTGAAAAAGAAGAGAAATCGAATTGAACATTAGAGGCCGAGATAATGGTTAAACAAATTTATAATATGTCATGCCAGGAATTTTATAAATATCTCAATAACTACGGTTAACATTTAGTTCTATTATTTAAATCTCAAATAAAATATAATTAAGTTTTAGCAATGGCGTCATAAAATTTATTGTCAATTTTTAACTGTAAAGATGAACACATCTGCAGCATAATTTTGTGAATCTTTGTTAAGATTCTTCTGATTGCAATTACACATTAACAGCATGTAGTAGATTTCCTACATGTGAAATCATTCCTAAATATACCTCTGCTATTCATTATTGAATAAAATTTTCAAAATGTTAGGACAGCTTTTATAATATTTATTTACGAAATATTTTTTTTAAGGCTTATAAAATTTTAAAATTCTTTCGATGGCGGGTATTAGGAACATATCGCAACCAACATTGTGCTGACTCAATTCTTTAAATACACTCTGTTTTTACCAAATTCACTGAGTCATTATCAGATCAGAAAGCTGACATGCAATTTATTGATAATCTCGAATCTGCTATATTTACCATTATATGGTTAGCTATGTCTTTGGATTTTTCACTATTTGAAGAGAAAAAATTTAATAGTTTTATTGAAACGACCTTAATTTTGTTGAAATAGCGGAGGATCAAGAGAAATATTTTAATATTTCCCTTATTAGATGCATGTGTTTGAATTGCATATGTATGCCCATCTTTCAAATCATCAAGAATTGACCTCCTGGATTTAGGTCCTAAAACATTGATGATAGCTGCTCATTTTTGTTCTACAAGTATAGTTTTCATTTATATTAGAGTCGTTAAATATTATGGGAAAAGGATTCTACCAACATTGTGATGATAATCTCTGTGAATGTTGTACTACAAGATAAGTGATTAAAATTGCCGCAACTGTAGTTGCATCTGTATTATTTCTTATTTTTGGAGTACCTAATTATGTATTTAAACGTGATAAGTGATAATTAAGCGCCTATCCGTATAATGTTATACACACACACTGTAGATTTCCAAACGGTCGTTTTGTGGGACATTCACATAAAATATAATTTTAATTGTAAAATTAAAATCGTTTTTTTTATAAAATTTTATCTTGTTTACATTCTTATATATTTAAAAAAGATCGATGGTTTTTTATATAAATTAATATATTTTAATAAATCAAGATGTTATTTATTTTGAAAAATAGTTACCGACTTTGTATTTATATAAACTAATTATAAAAAATAATAGGAGGATAATTAAGTCAATTCAAAATCCCGGAAGGCCGGCACTTTACGGGCCTTCGGCCCACAAAAATTTTTTTTAGCATTTTTTATATTTCTAACGCAATTTTCATATTTCTCCCACATAATACCAAATTTCTCCCGCAATTTGAAAATTTTGATTTGGCAACCCTGCTACTGAGAGCTAAACGTTAGTTATTGAATTACAATGAATTTAAAAAATTGATAATATGGATTCATTCTACTATTATATTCAAAATAAAGTTAATATTGACTTAAAAAAACATTTATTTAAATTTTCGTATTTGACCGGTCAAATACAAAGTACTGTGTATATTTATATTTGAAAATATCGTCTTATTTTTATCATTATTTGCATAAGAATCACTTATATTTTGTGTAATTGTTAAATTACATTTTTTTTAGAGTTACAGTAAAAATTTTTAATATTATAATGTATAAAATATCTACATTTTGAAATTTATTTTAAATAATAAAAATATATGATGAAATATTCTCTAAAATTTTGTTATATCCATATTTTAAATAAAAAATATATTC